GCTCCAGGTGGGAGCTGGGCTGTACTGCTCATTTTCTCCCTACTGGGCAGTAGGGCTTTGTGCTTCAGGACAAAGTGTAGTGGTTAATGGAGCCTCTGGAGATGGTGGGGGATGGATTGGGTAAACACCCTCTTAAGGTGACCTAGGGAGGGAGATGGTAGAGTTCCTCTGGGATCTTGGGCACCCTGGGCCTGCCAGAGGTCTGGGCCATGCAGATCCACCAGAATTCTGGTTCTGGGGGGGAGTTTTCAGATTAGGGGTCTAAATCAGAGGTTCCTGGGAACCCACCTCTTGTTTTCGTTCCCTGCGCCCCAGTCCTCCTTCTCTCAGAGGCAAAGAGGTGCTGAGATGGGAACAGTTCTTTGGAGTGAAGCCAGAGAGGGCTCCATTCATGTAGTAACCGCCTAGCAAACCCTCATGGCCGTGCTCCTCGTGTGTTTCTCGTCTGTCAGATGCTGAGAAGGACTCCATGTGAATTGTTATTGAGTCCTCACAATGACCTGGGGAGTTTTTTGTACCCCCATCTTACAGAGGCAGAGTTGTGACAAGTGACTGCAGGCCTGCTCAGCACAGGCCCTATGACCACAGTGCTGAGGGTGCTTGAAGGAGGTGCCAGATTCTTGACTGGCAGTGACACCTCGAGGTGGTCAGTCCTGGGCGGGGTGAAGGGAGGCTTTAGGTGCACAGAGGGAGTGAAGAAGCCCCCAAAGAAAGAGGCTCCAACCAGCTGCCTTACTCCACACCTACCCACAGCCCCAGAAAGCAGGAACTAGGGAGGGAAAGTGGCCTCAACTCCACTTTCTAGGCTCCAATTGGTCTACTTGTGAGAGTCCTCCACTCTGACCCTGGCAGGAAAGAGAGTTAAACAGATGGCTCTGCACTTTAAGGTGGAGAGGGACCTGTCAGGGGGTCCTGGACCTGGGCAGCTAGGAACTGAAGAATCCTTACAACCTGGCAGGCTGTGAGGTGGCAGTGGGAAATGGGAGTGGGGTGAAGAAGTCACAGAGAAACTCTATTGTTGGGGGGTAGCCTGTGGGGGCCAATTAGATTTCCCTGTTATCCCCACACCCGCTGACCTTCAGCCGGGGCAGTGACGGTCCCTCCCTGCACTTCCAAAGAGGGATCTGGACTCACACCAGGCTGATCTCGCTCAGGAACTAGCCCCCGTGTCCTTCCTCCCCGCAGTCTCTTTTTCCCCACGCGCTGGCTGGCGGTGGTGGCCGCTGCTGTCCTCCAGGCAGTCTGACTCTGGGGTGGCCGGGAAGCGAGCCCAGAGAGTGCTGGCGACTGGCCCGTGGTCACACAAGGAGCAGAGGCTCCTTGTCTGGGTGGCTCATCGCTATTTCCAGGGGCCCTCTTGAAAGAGCATACCAGGAGAAAGACGGTCCAAAGAAGACCACCCCGCGGGTGCACATCTTTCCAAACGCCCCAGGAGGACCTGCAAATCGCTTGGATCTTTGCACTGTTTCCTGTGTCCCCATCCCTCGGATCCTTTGCCTGGCCAATTCTGGGTCCTTCCAACTCAGCTCAGGAAAACTGTGAGAACTAATTTAAAATTTTGTAATGGGAGAGATGCCAGAAAGGAAGCCAGTTTTAAGATAAATATACTATAATCAGTAACTTTCTGATGCCCCTGACATAGCCGGTTAGACACTGTAATGGAGGAAAAGATTCTGTTCGCAAGAGCTACATACTATGTGGAGACATACACTTCACAAAACCGCAGGAAGAAATGACGACACTTGCCAAAGGACATACAACTTGTGAATAAAACTCACACCATGTCCTAAATGGAAGCATCTCATATTCCATTTGTGAAGGTATATAATCTCCCTCAAGTTAATTTCTGAAGGTAGTTAAATTTCTAAATTTATTTTTTCTCATACATTTTTTTTGGAGCTAGCTTTAAATTCTGAAAGCATTTATTCAGAAGACAGTATTTTGAAAAGAGCCATGACAATTTTTAAAAAGAATCAGAAATCAGAAGGATGACTTGCCCTCCCAAGTAATAATTAAAATAGTGAGGCTAGTGCAAGAAGAGCAAACAGCTCCCTGGGAGAGAAGGTGCTGAAACAGACCTGAGGCCATCTGAGAATTTACTGTACAGTATATGGTCAGCAGAGGGAAGGGTGGATCATTAAATGGTGCTGTGAAAACTGGCAAATCATTTGGGAAAAAATTAAGTTACAAATTTCACACATTCTATCAAAATTAATTTCAAATGCTCTAAAGATATATATATGTAAATAATGCAAAAGAGCTAATATAAAACATAGGTGAATGCTTTGAAAAGGTTGGATTTGAAAAAATCATTAAGCACAATACTATTAATAGAGTCTATAAAGAAAAAAATTTTAAATGGCTACATAAAAAAAAAATTTAAGTTCCAGTATAATGCTAGCAACACGAATAAAAAAAAAAAACAATAAAAATGTAGGGAAGTGCGGTACATGTTGCAGACAAAATATACTACTGCCTTTGATATATGAGTAGCTATTACAAATTAAGGAAAAGAAAGCTCTCCAATTGGAAAATAAGCAAGCGCTATACAGCTATTTTAAAACCACGCCAAGTGACCACCTTATAGGAAAAACTAAGGAATTACTAAGGAAGTCCAAAGTGACAATGACAATGAGAGAGTCCTGTTTGTGTTTGAACTGACTGGCAAGCATTAAAAAGATCAAGATGCACTTGTGTTGAGTGTGTTCATCGAGCACTTTTCCTCAGGGCAGCTTGACAGGTAGCAATCAAACGCCTTAAAAAGAAGGGAGAAAAAAGCCTCTGATCAATCAGTTGTATTTGTAGGAATTTACCCTAAGGAAATAATTAGGCAAATTCACAAAGGATGTTTATGGTAGCAATGTTTATTAGAGTGAAAATTGAAACAAACTATGCATTAACATTATTTATAGGGAGTTGACTAAATAAATTAAGATACATCCATACAAGGAAATATTAAACAACCCTTTAAAAACATTAGTAGACATATGACTATGATTATAAATTTAAAAAGCAAGAAATAAAGTATATTTTTTGCAAATGTTGAGTACATAGAGTTTAGAAAAATACCTACAATGGCAAATACATTTTTCTAAATTGTTTCAGGCAATAACAATGTTTTCATTAGGAAAACCTAACGTCTCACTGCAGAGGTCTCTTTCTTCAAGAAGCGGCCCCTGACCCTCCTGGCCTCCTACCTAAGGTTAAGGACTCACACCGCAGTCCTGCTCTAACAGTGAGGTCACAAGTAGGTGACTGGATCCCAATTGGCCAAGGAGCCCTGGAAGAGCCCATCGTGGTTGATTTATCTAGGGCCATCAGGGCCCGGCACATACTAAGTGCTCAACAAATGTAGTACGAATAACTGGATGAATGACCGTCCTATCTCATTTCCGTGGGCGATCGGTGAATTGAATGGAAACGAGTCTAGTGGAAGCCCCTAGGTCGGACCTACCGGCCCAAAACTGGTGAGGAGAAAAAAGCCTTGAGAGTGGGTGTCAGATCTAGATTTCTCTTTCAACAGCAGCACCGCGGCCCCAGGCCCGGCGTTTAAAATCAGGGAAGTCTCACGCCCTCCAGGACTTCGCGCCAAGCAAGACAGCACAGACGAAGCGTCTAGCGGAGGGGCAGTACGCAGTAGGCGCTCAAAATAGAAGCAAATAGTTGCTGGGCGAACATCACTCTCAGCGCATTTGTCCCAGGCTCAGATGTGCCCAACCATAAGACTGTGGAGATACGAAGCCTGGCGACTCTGGCTGGCCGCCTCCCTGCGCGTGCCCTGCAGACACAGGGGCTTGATCCAAAAGAGGGCTGCGGCCGCTGCGCTGCTCGTTGGGGGCTCCCGGCCGCGCGCTCAGCGCCGCTGCCTTCGCTATCCCACCTCATTGGGCTCCACCGCCCGCTCCTTCGGTTCACCGTTGGGAGTATGACCACGGAGAGAGCAGAGAACCCGC